ATTGGATGACGATCCGGATTCAAAATGAGCGGGTTTGTCTTGTGAAGTCAAAGCATCTAAGGAGGTTGATTTAGATTTGCACAAGATGCGCAGTAGAAACAAAATTTTACCGAGCAGCATTCATCTTAGTTTCACTCAAGATTCCAGACTGGTCGATGCTTCTCGACATAAGTATTAAGCCTCCACAAAGCACGATAAAGGACTACCAGGAGAGCGACTTTTGGCAGCAATACGCGGGATATAAATTTCCTCGAATGTTTCAAGTTGGCGCATCTTGAAGTTCTCTGATTTCTCCGGACTATACTATCTTGGGAACTCAATTGTCATCGATAGTAATTGAAACTTTTATCTCATCTTCCGTAATAGCTGTGTTAGAAGCCGATCTTCGAGTTATGATACAGTCGAGTTTCTCTAGTGACGTCAATCTGGTAGCTAAAGCGTTCTCACTCCCTTCCCCAGAGTTCTCATGCATGTAAGTGGTTGCTGCTTTTAAGCTTCATCTCCAACATGAATTTCTGGTCCCTGAATTTGATAAAAGCTAATCGGACGTTCCGTGTAGCAAAGACATACACTCATCCACAATGACGAAGAACATATACCGACCTATCAAGATTTTTCAGAACTGACCCCGGCACCAGAGCTTTTGATGCATGCCCACTTGTTCGGAGCCAAACGATTTGGATAGCAACCAAATACTTTGCAATCAATCTGCCGCTGGACTTGTGTGATTCGCTGAGAACAGACTGCATTCATAGTTTTTAAGTGCTGATTTAGGGGCTGCACATGGCATCGGGTAGATATGCTGTCATCAGCCTCGTTGATGGACATGCTGCGCCAGGGTACCCATTTCAATGTGTTATTACCCAACAGAGGGTCGACAAGTACTGCCTTTGATGAATTTGGGAACTTCGTTCCGCCATGGAATAAGATAGATTGGCGGGCAGGAAGCACTTGTATTCAGAAGTGAATAGAAGAAAGAATATGGGATCAAATCTGTTGTTCCCGTATTTCGCGCTGACTTACCCTTCTAAAAGTTCTTGTACAGTGAAGAAAAGTTCTTGATGAAGGCAGATATTGTTAAGGGATAGGTTCTAAACATTTTTCTTCTAGTGTCCAGTGCCCTGGAGGGTGAGACTCTGGAATTCCTTGAATTTGAGATTGTATTTGGTGTCGCTTGATGCCCCTATCCAGATTCAGAGCACGTCAATGGGAGGAAATTTCATGTTTTTTCATGTCATTTCCAATATTGTGATTAGCATCTTAAGTTACTGGAACCACCAACACCTTGAACGATTCCTAGTATTTATAATCATTGTTACTCAAGTCCCCTTCACTTAGCTTCCCATATGTAACCATATGCATCCATTTCAGTATATGCAAGTATGCGAGACTGAAGATGGGGTTGAGCTAGGTGGTTAGTCTATGTTAATAGTGGTATTTATGTGAGACTAAATACCCGTAACGCCCAAAAGTTCGGATTGCGAGTAACTTGTATAGAATTCCATATCGTAAACAATGTTTCGTCATTTCAGCCATAAAATTGTGGATTTGATAACATAGTGAGGTTCATCGGTCCCGAGGTCTGTTTTGAGAGAAAGTTGATTGCACAGCCACACTCGAGCCAAGATTTCTCACCACCACACAGAAAAATACGTCATTGTGGCTCTTGCTGCTCCCAACCTACCACCAGTACAGGCTCTCCTCACATAAACAACAAGTAAATGACAAAGTGATGAATATCCCAGCCTGATATCATCTTCATTCAACTCGATATTTTTCCAAGGAAGGAACAATGTTCTACAAAAACATCATCAGCACAACTCAAATTCCCTAACAAATAATATACCTCCTTTCTTTCTTCGAACCAAACGAACTATAGCAGAATACGCACAACATCGCCATCTATATCCAAAATGGCCTCACTCCTACGTCAAATTGTCGCAGGTCCGCGTTCTCGTCACCCAGAAGCAGGTCTGGATCTCTGCTACGTAACACCTAATATAATAGCGACGTCTGGACCCAGTGGCACATATCCGCAACGAGCATATCGCAATCCGCTCGATCAGCTCGTTACATTCCTCGATTATAAACACGGGAAAGAGGGATGGATGATATGGGAATTTAGGGCCGAGGGGACCGGATATCCGGACGAGGAGGTGAGAGGGAGAGTTAGACATTGGCCGTGGCCGGATCATCATCCGCCTCCTTTTAAGTTGGTTCCGGGGATTGTGGGAGGAATGAGGAATTGGTTGGAAGAGGCGGGGGATGGTGAGGGAAAGAATGAGAAGAAAGAAGGGGGAAAGGTGGTGGTTGTACATTGTAAAGCTGGGAAGGGGAGAAGTGGCACAATGGCTTGTAGTTATTTGATTGCGGAGTGTGGATGGAAGGCATCTGAGGCACTTGCGCGATTTACAGAGAGAAGAATGAGACCGGGTTTTGGACAAGGTGTTTCGATACCGAGTCAATTGAGATGGGTTGGTTATGTGGATCGATGGACGCAATCTGGAAAACATTATGTTGATCGACAAATTGAGATTATGGAGGTACATGTTTGGGGATTGAGAGACGGTGTGAAAGTCCAAGTCGAAGGATATGTTGATGAAGGCAAAACAATCAAATTATTCCACGTCTTTACGAAGAAAGAAAGAGTCGTGGTAGAAGGAAACACACCCGGTAGTGGAGGAATCAAAAATATGATATCCGACATGGCAGGATTTGGAAATCAAGATAAAATCGCAACATCGAAAAGCGCAGATCGAATCGAAGAACCCAAAAACCTGAAGCCAACACCACGAGCTACAGAACCCAACCCTAGCGGATCGGAAACGGATTCGGAAACAGGGGGAGGAGCAGTCATTTTTAAACCTTCTACAAGAGTTATTCTTCCTACTAGCGATATCAATATCGACTTCGAACGTAGAAATAAAGCTTCCATGGGTTGGACAATGGTTACAGCCGTTGCTCACGTATGGTTTAATGCATATTTCGAAGGTGGTGGGCCTGAGAAAAATGGCAAGCCAGATGAAAATGGTATATTCGAAATCGAGTGGGATAAAATGGATGGAATCAAAGGTTCTTCTCGTAAAGGTACAAGAGCCTTTGATAAACTTGCCGTAGTTTGGAAAGTCTATGATCCCGAACCTGGCCGCGGTAGAAAAGAAAGTGTTATTGAAGAACCTGGCCGAAATTCCCCAGTCCCCGAAGTCCAAGCCGCAGATTGGAAGGGAGAAAATGAAGTTTCTCCTACCAATGGCAATAGAGATTTAGGACTTCGAACAGAAAGTCCAGCGAGCGCGGAAGTTAGTAAGGCGAGTAGTGTGAACGAGGCTGAGAAGGAAAAAGAAGAAGAGAGGAGAGAGGAAGAGGGATTGAGAGTTTCAAGTCCAACGGGAGAAGAGGATTTACAGCTGGATATTACAAGTTTACCGAAACCGCAGGGAAATGTGCCGGTGCCGGATTTGGAACAGATTAATAAGGGGCTCGATACGGCGACATCGACGACGGTTAATCATGAGGCGAGGAAGTGAGTGCAATTTTTCGAAACGAGGATGTGTTGAGGGAAGGAGTTACTGACGTCGGGATATAGAGATGTAGGGAATCAGAATGGGAGTGAAGATGGAAAGGAGGGAGTGGATGGAATAAATGATATACCAAATGCACCACACGTATCGGGTATCTCGACAGCGGATTTACCAGGTGGTGTGCCGGAGGATCAGATGAAGAATGCAAAGGGACATAAGTTGGGACATTTGCAGAGTGTGAATAGGACTATTAATTCGTAGGGTTTGGGGGTTGCAGGTGCGGGAGAGGATTTACAGCACGTGTTTGGAAGGATTTGTTAGAGATTCATTTTTGGGAAAGGTGAAAGGTATTATTCGGAGAACCGAAGCAAGCAAGACAGAACAGACCAGACCAGAACAATCTCTAGAAAAACATAGATACCATTGCATATGATACCTACCCATCCACCTTTCTACACATCGTACTTTGATCTCGACCTCAATCTTAATGTCGATTATGATTGGTATATATATATACATAAATATAGCTTATGGACGAGTAGAGCAGTGAGTTTGTATGTGTAAGGAGGTGTTTGGACACTCGGTTTGGATTAGAGTGCAGATTTCTGGATTTTGAATTTTGAATCTTGAGTGTGAGATAGGATGGGAAGGGATGGGTGGATGAGTAAATGAGTGAATGAATGGTTGTTATTTATATGGGTAGAGAGAGAGGTAGAGAGTGAGGTGATGTGGGTAAGTGAATTAGTTAGAAAATTAATAGGATGAGATTGAGAGATTCATCTAGATAAGTGGAGGTTTGTTGAGTGAGTGAGTGAGTAGGTGAGTGAATGAGTTGGGGGAGGGGGTAGATGGGTGGATGGGTGGATGTATATGTGTATGTGTATATGGAATGGGAGGAAGTGATTGTCGTTTGTGGTTTGTATATGTAATGGGTGGAAGTGCTTATGGTTTGTGATCTGTTTGTGTACTAATCAAAGAGGGGTGAGAAGAGTGATGAGTGATGAGTGATGAGTGATGAGTGATGATATGTGGTATGATATGTGGTATGATATGTGTAGCATGATATGATACGAGATGGAGAAGAGAGAGAAGAAGAGAGGATAAGAGGGGAGGCCGGAATAGAGTACAATATAATAGGAGTGATAGGAGTGATATCTGGAAGAAGGAAAAGATTGATTTTCTATGGAAGAGTGTTATATATATTGTAGTATTGTGTATGTTGTGGGGTATGTGATATGATAAAATGCTAGGTAAGAAAAAATAGAATAATACGATCGATACAAATGAAATAAAGAAGTTCTACGAGTACAGTAGGTGGTAACGGATAGCGATAGCAATTGAAAGCGCGAATGCGCAGTACGTGGTATATACGCAATGATCTTCTCCTCTTTTCTCTTTCTCCCTCTTTCTCCCTATTCCAACCCCTTCCATTTCTCTCTCTCTATCCCAATCCCGACAACCCCCAAAGCCCAAACCAAACTAAACTTTATCCCCCAAAACATCACTCACACTTCCACTCGCCGAGTGACTCGGACTATACGCGCTACTCCCAGGCGTATATCTAAATCCATCCGCCACACTTCCACCCTCTTCACTCCCATCATTATCTTCATACGCTGGCAATACCTCTTCATCATCCATTCTGACTTCAATTCCATGCGTATACCCATCAAAATGGAGTATCTGATCTTCGGATACGTTTCTCTGATGAGCATGAACGGGAATAGAAACATAATGAGCGGGAGCAGAAGAACAAACTCGTCCTTCCTCCGCAGCTACCATATCACCCACTACATCCACCGCATTGCGGAAGGAAGAAATATCTTGCCCGACTGAGAATTCGGAGGGGGTGTCTTCGCTTTCACAGTCGGAATCATCATCATCGTGGAGTAATCTATCTTTTTCTTCGAAATCTTCTTCCTGGCCTAGAATGCGGTTCCACCAGTTTCTGAAACTGGCGCGGCGGCGACAGCGGGTTTCAAGACGAGATTGGCGGTTTGAACGAGCTTTGGGGTTGCAGGTGCGGCGGTAGAGGGTGATGAGGAAGAGGGAGAGGAGGAATCCGATGAGGGCGAATTTGAGGATGTGGGAGGGGAAGTGGGGTGGGCCGTGGGGTGGGCCGTGGGGAGGAGGGCCTGAGAAATCGTCTTCGAGGTGTGGAGGACCGTCGAAGTGGTCGGGTTCGGAGTGGGGAGGGGGACTGGTGAAATCAGGATGCGAACTTGGGGGGCCGGGGTGGAAGGGGGGTTCTTGGTCCTCGTGGGGACCGCTGTGAGGTGGACCGTGGTGGGGTTCTTCGTTGTGTGGGTGATGTGGTCCCTCATGTTCAGGTCCATCAAATGGTCCTTCATGTGGGTGATGTGGTCCGTCGTGTTCAGGTCCATCAAATGGTCCCTCGTGTGGATGTTCACCGTGATGATGTTCTTCGGAGTGATCGAAATCCAGGCCATCAAACGATGGTGGTCCTTGTTCATGATGTTGTTCAGCATGTTTTCCATGACGCCCTTCAAATTCATCTTCAAAGTTGTCATGGCCTCCATGAGGTCTTTCCAATTCTTCAGACTCATCTCCATGATGTCCATCATGATGTCTGGGTCGTCCTTCCCAAGGTCCATGTCCTTCTTCATCGTCATGGAAAGGATGCATTCCATGGTGTCTTCCGTGTTCAAATCCAGGAGGACCGAATTCGTGTGGAGGAGGTCCATGGGGAGGTTCGTGTGGTGGTCCATGTGGTGGTCCATGTGGTCCATCATGATGGGGACCGTGAGGATGAAAATCAAAAGGAGGAGGGTAATGACAAATTGGAAGAGTATGGTGTCGATGAGGAGGGAAGTGTGGACCGGTATGGTTGTTCTTGCCGTGAGGTACATGTGGAGAGGTATGGTTTCCGGATGTGTGATTACCTGGTTTCCCATGAAATCCTTTACCATGCTTCTTATCCTTCTTTGAGTGTGACTCGCGAGAATGATGGAAAGATTCTTTATCAAACTCATCACCAGCGATCCTTCCGTAGAATTTACGAGCCTTCTCGCTAATAACTCCAGCGACGCATCGAAGACTATCACAATCTCTGATTCTGTCATCCAGGTTGTGATGTTCTCGAGCGTGTTTTGAGATGTGATGCTTCTTTTTATGGATGAGATACTTTAACTCCTTCATTTGAGCTTTCATGTATCTAAGCTCAGCCAATTCTTTGTGAATGTTGAACTCTTTGTGGCCCATGTGGTGTTTATGCTCTCCGTCTGGACCGTTACCCATAGGGTGCTTGTGTTCTCCTTCAGGACCCTTGTCCATATGATGCTTGTGTTCTCCTTCAGGACCCTCGCTCATATGATGTTTGTGTTCCTCTTCAGAACCCTTGTCCATATGATGCTTATGTTCTCCCTCGGGACCCTTTCCATTATGATGTTGCTTATCCGATGATGAATGATGTTCGATAACTTGATCCTCTTCCGATGAAATAGTTTCGATGTTCATGATTTCCGTCTCTTCAGTTTGTCTGAATAAAACAGAGAATCCTGAATTCTCAATTGCCTTTCCATCAACAAAATCAATCATAACCTTCATGAGTTGTCCACGTGGTTTACCATCAATAACGATACAATCGAAAGACCATGATCCTACTACGATTTTATTCGTCGATGTCGAGATGGAACCTTTTCCAGATGAGATTGAAGTTTCCGAATCGAATGTTTGTGAAAGAGGTTGACCATCGATCAAGACATTTCCAAAGCCGCATGCTTCTGTGGAATGAAGGATATCAACTCGGAGGTCTAGAGGGGAGACATCAGCTGATGAGGAATCATGTCCAAGATCAAGTCGAACGAATCCCATGGTATAAGCTTCTAGAAGGAGAAGTTAGTTTTGATAGATATAGAATAAGAACTGAGATATAAGTTTACCAGTAGTATCAACATCGTTCTTTTCGAATTCGATATCAACATCTTGTTCTGAAGCTGGTGGTAAAACAAACGCCGACACTATGGCCGGCGCAAGTAGGAATGCCTTCAAAAGGCTACGCATAATGATGAGAGAGCACAGGAGTACAAGAGAGTGAAATGACAATGAGATTTAATAATAAATAGTAATCAATAAAGATGTATTATGCAATAACACAATATCGAGATATAATGTTAATTGAACGGAATACTGTACTACTTCTACCAGTACAATATTTAACCGAACGATTAGACCAAAGATCAAAAAGCGATCAAACACAAAATTTGACCAAAAGAACAAGAGAAAGCCTTGAGAACTAAAAGGAAAGAAATCAAGAAACCATCAATAATCATATAACGATATAAGGTTTTTTATTTTCATCCTCCCCCACTGCCTTACGAGTCCCTTCACAATTGCGCAGTCATGATTAACAGAAACTAACCAAAACGATATTACGCGTCGTCAGCATCAGAGCGGTTATCACGGAGTACGAGAGCCAGAAGGCTGAATGGGTGTACAGGATATATATATATATACATATAGGATAGCAAATCAGAAACGAGAACTGTTTGCGTGTGAGGAAAGGTATCTGGATGTGTTGATTGGAGGTGACGACTTTGATATAATTTTATACTCATCTAGACATCAAAACATGTTCCAAGTGATGGCCATGAGTGAAGTGTGATAGATATTTAATGTGTGGTGATGAGCGGACCTTTCGGACATTTGGCAGAGTCGAGTTTATGTCGGTACCGAGAATTTATTATGTTGCCTGAGTTTCAAGGCTTCAATCTGTACCACCATTCTGACATCCTCCCGTTTTGCCTAGCTGGTCAATCTCGAAATCCGTCATAATTCGATACGGTAACCTAAACGTCTCAATTATTCCTGGAAGATCAAATCCACTCTGAAGCTGAGCGCATAGCAAACAACTCTATATCATCTATCTATCCATCTTCACTATGGTTGTATGTACTCCCCCAAAATGATACCTACATTTCCACATTTCTTACAAGCTGCATCACTTGCGCGCATACAATCTGCGATACTGATTCCATCTGCTATAGCTCCCCTTAGGCCTACTCACGGCCGCACAAGGTCACCCAATGCTGGTTGAGCTCAAGGATGGCGAAACTTTGAACGGTCATTTGGTATCATGCGATACTTGGATGAATTTAACGTTGAAGGAGGTGGTTCAAACGAGTCCGGTATGAAAGATTCTGTCGAGGATGGAGCTGGGGCGTTTGGTTGGAATGCGCTGAAGCTAATACTTCGAATTTCAGGATGGCGATAAATTTACAAGGTTACCAGAAATATATGTGAAAGGAAACAATGTACGTTTTTGTTGTTAGGGGAAGTCGGATGTGGGTAAAAAAGATATATCCTAACTTAGTTCGCAGATCAAATATCTACGAATGCCAGATGAAATTATCGATTTAGTAAAGGATCAACAACAAGGACAACAAAACAACTACAGAGGTCGCGGAGGTAACAGAGGCGACAGAGGTGGTGATAGAGGTCGTGGTGGCAGAGGTGGAAGAGGAAGAGGAAGAGGAGGGAGAGGAGCTTGAAACATTGGTGGTGGTGATAATGAGCTGAAATTGGACTCGAAGAAGCTACATAAGGGCACGTATAATATACACAAAGTGCAGAGGGGCGGCTACATTTCTTCTTGATGAACATCGAAGAATTTCGATATATGCGGCAGATGTGCCTTGAAATGATGCCGGCAGGTATACTGGGCATATGATAGGTTCATATTGGATGTGAGAAATCGTCGAGGCACACATACATATGTCTCAGCAGAGTCTCAAACCATCACATATTTCGAGATCATAGCCCACGACAACCAAAACAACGATTTTCCCCAATTCTTCTATCTTGAACTCCCTTCATGGCAAATTAAAATTACCCCTGTCATTCGTATGAATCCCGCCCAACGAATCGCGGGGATCATATCTTCCCCTCTGTCCCCACGTGATTCTACAACATTTCCGCCGCGCCTAGAAATGTTTCCGCGAACCTTGAAAGTAAAAATTATAGATCAACTCAATGACGACCACAAGAATTCCAATTGATGGACTATGGCGATGTCTTTGTCCTTCTATAGATACATTCATTCTTGCGCGCTCTAATACCTTTACTCAATTACCCAGAAAATTCTTAAACCGTCCTTTGCTTAAGAATAAAAAGATCCCAACATGTTTAAAAAGTCGATCCTTTCATACCACTACCACGACTTCACTTCCAGTGTTAAATGGACAATATACCCCGAGATCGCGAAATAGTAAAGGGAAGTCGAATATACCGAAACCTCTTAATTTGGAACAACTGAGTACCGATGAGATTCATGAACGATTGAGAGAATTGAAGACGGAAGAGGGGGCATATGCACAAGTCGCAGAAGTGGTGGAATATTTGGTGAAGGTCAGGCAGGAAAGACCTGCGTTGATACATTATGATGCTTTGATTGCAGCTAATGCGGATCCTGAAAATGGAAGTGTAGAGGCTGTGAGGACTTTGTTGGAAGAGATGAAGGGGTTGGGAATTGGTGCTGATTCGGGACTTTATCATACTGTTTTACAAGTATGTATACTTCGCAATCTGTCTGCGGAGCAAGATGGCTAATGGTTCGTGTTGAATAGGTACTCGCGATTCATCCAGACTATCTTTTACGAACTCAGATATTGGAAGAAATGAAGGAACGCTGGTATAGTTTATCTCCTACTGGATGGCATAATTTGGTCATTGGTCTACTTCGCGATCGTCAATATGAATTGGCTATGGACAAATTTGAACAAATGCAAGCAGATCAAATCGAAATCCAGCCATGGCTTTACGATATCTTCTTCTTTAGATTATGTGAATTGGATGAGTTGGATGAAGCTTTGAGACTATTGAAGTCTCGATATGATCAACCAGTACTGGCTATGCATATGTATTATCACTTGTTGGATTCATTTGCTAGTTCATTTCATGTAAGCAAATTTTATATCAATAGTTTATTTTCATCTGTTGACTTTTGATGTAGTATGAAGGTACCAGTTATATCTGGAGACTTTTGGTTGAAACCTCGGAAATGAATCCTGCAGATGGAACTTGCACAGCGGTATTAAATTGCGCAGCGCGTCATGCAGACCCCAATTTAGCTACATCAGCCATTGGACTTCTTTCCAAACGTAGCACTGTTCTTGGGGTACATCATTATGAAGCTCTCCTTGAAGCTTATGTCGGAATTGAAGATATTAAAACTTCTTTCCGAATTTTAAATATCATGACCAAAGCAGGTCTCACACCAGACGCAAGTTCCACAAGATCAATATATCTTTGGCTAACAAAATCTTCATTTCATGCCCTTGAAGGTTGGAAAATTCTCAAATCGTTAAAAGCGGATGGATACACTATTCCCATCGCCGCTGTAAACGTCGTTCTAGAAGGTGTCATCTTCACCAATAACTTAAGTCACAGTCATGACCTAGCAATAGATTATTACAAAGAACTCCACAGAATATGCGACGCGGGACCCAATATCGAAACTTTCAATACGCTTCTTCGAGGTCTAGGTGCTCATGGGAGAGGATCCAAATCGAAAGCTATGTTCCTCGCTTCCGAAATCCAAGCTTTAAATCTCAAACCCGATGAACTTACTTATGATCGACTTATTTTGATTTGTCTCCATATCGAAAACGCGGATTATGAGGATTGTTTTAGGTATTTGGAGGAAATGATGTTGGTGGGGAAAGATAAGGTTGATGCGGCGGGGAGGAGAGGCTGGTGGATGAGACCGGGCACCGTGGTGGCGTTGGTGAAGAGATGTGTGGAGAGTGGGGATGAGAGGGCTTGGCAGTTGATAGAGGATATGCGGGTGAGGGGAATGGTTAATGAGTATACGAGGTTGAAGGTTTGGACGGAGTTGTATTGGCCGAAGGGGGTGGTGAGGGGGAAGGGAGGAGGGGGGAAGTTCTGAGGGGGGAGAGGGGGGGTGAGGCGGTGGTAGGGTAGATGGAAAGAGCTTCGTTTTGAATTGAGATGAGGTGAGCATTTTGAGAGTAAATATATGTTACTGAAATACCTGCCATATGAACAATGAATCCCCTCACACCATCACTTTCCTTCTTTCTGCCTGACCTAATCTAGTTTTATACTTACCCCTTCATCTTAACTCATTATTCAGAAATTTCCAGTGTTTCTGCTCTGTTCTCCACCCTTCCCTTCCCTTGTCTTCTCCGAGACTAAATCATACCTCTCACGCCTCTCACTATCCATGTTTTTCATCTCTATAAAACAGAATACTAAGATCAATAGTTTTGGTTGCGTTGGCTAATGTTGTATTACTAGTTATACTAGCTCTCAAGGTGAATGAATCTATTGCATCTTAGCTGGAAATGAATTTTGTCCTGGAGGATGGGTGGGGTGGGGGGTTAAATGCTGAGGGTGTGTGTGAGAAGGGGGGGTGGGGTGGGATGAAGTTTGACGGGGAAAAGGGGGAGAGTGTGGATGATATTCGGAGATGGAAATATGAAAGGTAAGGGCATTTTTAGGTTAGGGTGCTGAGGAGTGAGGAGTGAGGAGTGAGGAGTGAGGAGTGAGGAGTGAGGAGTGAGGAGTGAGGAGTGAGGAGTGAGGAGTGAGGAGTGCGGAGTGAGGAGTGAGGAGTGAGGAGTGAGGAGTGAGGAGTGAGGAGTGCGGAGTGCGGAGTGAGGAGTGAGGAGTGAGGAGTGAGGAGTGAGGAGTGAGGAGTGAGGAGTGATTGGGGTTAGGGGTGGGAGTGGGATTGTTGATGTCTTGGGGGATAGGGAAGAAGAAATTGTACGAGAGTGGTGGTGTGTGATGAGAGAGCCTTGTTGTTGTTTTATATAAATCCATGGTTCTTACTCATATCAATTTATAGGGATAGTTAGCTCAACGACAACGATAAAAATAATAATAACAATAACAACAACAACAACAACAACAATAAAAACAACAAATAAAGCAAGTCCTTCGATAGTGGAAACAAAAAGGGGCATGAAATTATTCCTCACAGCCAATATCAGTAGCTATATGAACAAAATTCTGGTTCAACTATTTCAGAGTAGAACAGTTACTCCCAATGCTCCCTGGAAATAATGTACTCATTTATTTCATTGCATTCATGGAAGAAGAAGAAGGGAAGAGGGGGAAGAGGATGTATAAATAGTTAGTTGAAGACTATCTAGGTTAATTAGTTTTAGTATATTCTTGGGATCGAATATGTATAGAATGAAGTTTTGAATATGATGAATTTTTCTATGTGGGATACTGTGATATGAGGCCTGGGTAGATGTGGGAGGATGAGGATGTGAGATGGATGAAGATAATGATAATGACAGTGGTGATGTAATTTGAAATCGTGATTGATATATGTAACTACTAGGTAAGCGATGAATACCTAGCGATAGAGATACAACAGCAACATTGTCTCAATCTTCCTCCCCACCTCCCATCAGTAACGAGAACCGCATCCACGAACCTCTCATCTTATCCCCGTGTCAAAGCTAGCAATAGCTATGTAGCGATCATGCGAGACCACAAATTTTGTTTTCCAAAGTCCTTCGAGCGACTGTATAGTTATTTGTACGGGGCTTGTTGTGTCAACAGAAGGGGTATATAGTGCGTGGTTATATACTGACAGAGGGGGGATTGTATGATGACGTGGGATGGAATGGGATGAGATAGGATAGGATAGGATAGAGTGTGGATATGAGATTGCGAGTCTATTGATTAGTTATGTATCTAGGTTGAAGAATCTACCTTTCGAGTTTCGTCCTATTTAGCTCAGTTTTCTAAACTTTTCTTCGGATCTATATAAATCTCATCTTAGTCCGTTTTGATAAATCAATAAGATTGAACGGGGCAATTGGAAAAAGATGTTGAGGGGGGGTCGAGGTGTAGTCACATAATTTGAAATGTGTACCTATGTACTCTCAATGATTTACTTAGAGTCTAATGTAGTGAGATGTATAGATTTGGTACAGAATTGAAATAGAGATATAGACATGACAATACAGATGGATGTTCTCGCTGTCGTTTTCTTTTAATAGAATTACTAATCTGAATGACAGTAAAGACGCGTTTAGCTAGTAGCATATATGATTTTCATCGCAAACCAGTGGATTATCGAGTAATTTGATAGAAGTGCATTCCAACTTCAATATCTCGATATGGGATTGCTCATCTCTTTCAAATTTCTGCTATACATTCATCCCACCCTTGACCGACTCTGGAGAAGCTCCATGTCTGGGACCCTAGGTATTGATGTCGGGTTGCAAATCTATATCTTATCATTTGGTATCAGAATTGAGATGTTTATATACTCAAATCTTGATTCTGGATATTGAAACCTTATGGTAACACTTGAGATATAATGATACCTCTTTGGTAGTTATCTCCAAGTTGAGTGGAAAATGTGTGTTCACGAACATGAATCGAAATATATGTTTAGAAGCTAGGTATATAAACTCGACTTCTAACCAAGAAGAATAAGCTGTAAATTGAACTCACTTACAACTGGCAATTGCCCCAGGAACTCAGATGAGGTTTGTGACTGATAGAGGTGTGAAGGTTTGCTGCTTGGCTATCGATGAGTTTATCTGGGTATTGAGGATGAATTGAGATGGCTTCTTGATTGGGGGAAAGGAATGTTGCGATGTGTTTTTTTGACGGTGATAGAGAGTATACTGTTTGGATGAATGATAAGAATAGATATTGACAGCGAAAGATGTAATCAATATTATCAGACTACCTTCATCTGATAGATGCTATATGCTTTTATAAATGTGAGGAATATAGTGCGAAGATAATCTCCAAGCTGATCTGCTTCCATCTCACTCATTTCTTCAACCTTTGGCACTGCCTGTCAGGTTCTGCCAGCACAAATTCAAATAACGTAATTCCGAAAGCCACAATCTTTCCAATATAATTCCTGTGTTACTGATGAAATTAAGGTGTTTATATACTCCAACAAATCTTAGTACGTAACATTAAAAGAAGCGAGGTCAATCATGAAAAGCGCAAATGTCCGAACGTCATTACTTCACACTATCAAAATCCGAAAGTTTTGCTTACTATCAAAGACTAGTCCCGAATCAAACCAAAAGATCCGTAAATTTTCGACGATCCGGCAGATGTGAAAGATTGCGATTTGGCGAGCGGTGTTTTACAGTAAATATCGTAATCTTCAAAAATGGCTGCTTTTGAGATAAGTGCTCTGGATGAGGCGCTGAGGTATGGGTTGGTTGGTGGGCTAAACTGGAGTTTCTTGTCGTCGTATCGGAGGTTTGATGGACTAGAATCGGTTAATGTCTCGGTTATGACAGCGAGAGTATATCTCGTTGGCAAAAAATACATCCACGCTATTCTATTTCTAATTTTTTGGATTACACAATCAATTTGTAGACTGCACTATGTGACCCTTGGATCCCCAGTTTTTATCTAGCTCTTCACTCATGGTTTTCTCTATTGGACTGCTGTAGATCTCATCTTCTCTGTCCTGAAGAATAGGCAAGTGGTTATATATCCTTTCAGTTCCTTTACTCGAGTTAAAAATGCGTACATCATCTGTATTAAAACGTTATATAGGTATTACTTATGATTTAATTACCATGTAGCGTAAACAGCGATGCTTTGGGTCTTATATAAGACTAGCTGGTTGTAGAAAAGATGACTTTCAACATGATGGCAGTCTCACTGGAAAAAAAGAGGCAGGTGTGAATAGTATGGAGCAGGTGTTTCAGAAGAACGTATAACAGTACTAGACTATCATGTGCCAATGAAATGAAGCAGGTAAAACTACGGTCACTTGAAGTGAAATGATTTCTGGTAGAGGTGAGATCGTCAGATTCCAACCACTGCTTCAAGCGAATCTGTAAAAGCGGTTGCTGAGATACACTACAGCCATGCTGAGCCGTACGACTTGAACGAGTCTGCACCGTATCTTCTAAAGTAGTATATATGGATCTTTCGTGATCGTCTTAGAACTTCCTTTCTTGAAAATCTCACAATCTTTATTTACAGATAGCAAAACACTACCCGAAATGCACTTTATCTTGTTCGATACAAACACTTCATTCTATTCAGTCTTTCATATACTTTTGAAGTATCATTTTTAGCCTGAACTACGGTCGAGTTTAAATCCTACCACAATAAAAATTATGGACCCTCCACGCCCAATCAAGTTGGAGTCGGAGTGGATAGAGCCGGCAACCAAGAAAGTCAAGGCTAACAAGTACTGGATAGAGTAAGCACTCAATATATATATATCAATAAAACAGTTTGCTAACAAATTACAGCACAATCGGTACCAGAATTGTGCGCCTCGAAGTCGGCACAGGCTTCGATCAAGTTGTCTTTAATGTTCATAAGACAATACTCTGCAAGAAGATCGCATTCTTTGATAAGATGTTCAACGGAAAGTTCTTGGAAGGCATAACTCATAGTGCCAAGATGCCCGAGGACAATATCGAAGCCTTCAAGCTGATGCTTGGCTGGGTATATAGCGGAGCCATCGAGCCAGGAATTGATCTTACCTTTGCAAATGGTAATTCTGCCAGCACACCACTCTTGGAGCTACTGATTCTTGCGGAAAAATACGACATCAACCCACTTGTTGATGCCACGATGGATTACCTGATCAAACTCCTCCAGGAGAATAGAATAATCATCGGCGAGTCCCTGTGGGTGTATACATACGAGAATACACGCCGCACATCGAAGCTTCGATTATTCTTCACGAGAACAGCCATCTATGCGATGCGCTTCAAAGACGGAGAATTTACTAGCAATCCCAAATTCTGGACTGTGAAGGCAATACACTCCATATTGTCGCAGAGTCCAGAGATCCTCATGGATTATCTGGCTTTGACCCAAGGGGTAAAGCTCCAGGAGGATCCATTGATAGCACCACCGTGCGATTACCATCGACATGCGGCGGACGAGGACTGCCCATATAAGCCGAAGACAACCGCTAAAATTACCAACGAGAGTGGTAATAGACCGAGCGATCTGGATGACTGACGACATGCACTTGAATGCAGGTAGACACACTATGCTAAAAAAACGAAATTGTAAGAAAACGGGTGTGTATCAGATTGTTTCAACTATGGTAGAGGAATTTGGGTTATGTGCCTGGGCTTCTGCGAGGAATTTTGATAGAAGACATGGGCTTGAGGATTTGCAGTAAGTGAGAAATAATGTGAGGATTTGAGTGAATAAAAACTTGGGTATATAGAGTAGACGTTATCATCAAGGGCTGCTTCTGCCGGCGTTGGTTTCTTAGTCCATCAATACAGACCTGGTGCCACGTGATGTTAAAGATCCCACTCACCCAAAGCTTCTGCAGCTGTTTGAATCATGATGTGAGTTGGAAAACATGACACTTGGATTCGACTAGTAAGTTCAAAGGTGAAATATGTTCGAAACAAAATATCAAGATGAACGAAAAGCTTGGCTTCAACAATGAATTTGATGAATTATCTGTACCCTATATTGCTAGACATTCAAGATATAATATGCTAGCGATGCGCCATTGAAGTGAATCTGAGAGTTTGACACTGGTAGAACTCGTTAACAGCCTCGTCGGTCCTATATTCTTCCCGGAAGGCTTCAAGAAAAGGGCAGTGCATAGATTGCAAACTTGATTTTTGGTTTTCGACAGAAACCGTAAAGACTGTGAAGAGAAATCACTGTGCTCGTTTAAAGATGCTGCGCCTTCCATAAAATTATTCGTTTTCTTCACAGCCAAGTCACCTTTAAGTGGCCGCGGTATTGTGTAACCAACTATCTGTCTTGGCCAGCTACGCGAAAAAACGTTCTTCGTGTAAGTTGAATTTCCTTCTCGATCTTTGAATTCCTTCTACACATAAGCATATTCTGATTTCTGACTTTCACGCCACCAAAATAGCTATACTCTGACTGTCAAGCTATCTTCGCCTACAAACTCAACGCAGTCATGACTTCCAGCGATATGTGGTCAGCCTCTGCCATCTCTGATTGGTGTACCAGAACTTCAACAACAAGCAATTTCAAAACTTCCATGAACGGCAATGCCCATACTCGCCATAGTTCAAGCAGCACTTACATGCCAGAGGTTGGATCGCATCTATCTTCCAGGTGTGTTCACTCGTCATATCGGTGTATCAGATGGCTTTACTGACATATTGAACAACAGAGAACTAGGCCCCATCATCTTGCAAATTGAAGTTGGCAGTGGCAAAGAGCCTGGAGGCACCGTCACTTTCAAAGCCCATGCCAAGCTTCTCTACGCCAAAATTCCAGTCCTCGAATATATGGTCGCCAATACTTTCGAAGAATTTCTAGACCCGGTCAAAGAAGTTCCAGATGTTATCCTCGCAAATGACGATCCCAAGGCCTTCAAGTTACTCGTCGACTGGGTCTATACCGATAAGATCGATGGCGGTCTCAGTAAGATTGCAAGTATTGAGAATACAACCACGCCCTCCAAGGGTTCCTTCAAAGGACTTTTCATGTCGATGAAGCTTCCAATCCTCGTAAAGCTCTGCATTCTTGCCGAAAAATATCACGTCTCGCGTCTTCAGGATGAATCAATTGACTTTCTCATCAAATTCATGATCGATACCAAGGCAAGAGCTAATCCTTCCTGTTGGTTGGAGGTCTACAAACACACCATTCCCAAGTCAAAGTTGAGACTTTTGATCTCCCGAATTGCGGTATGGCAAATGTCACAAGTTGGTGGATTGGATGGAGTTAGTGATATGGATCTGGAGTCAATCTTTTCTCGTAATGAGGAGTTACGTTTTGATATATCAACACTCACGGAGGATAACATGGGAGTTAGTCTGGCTGATCCATTGTTGGCACCAGCTTGTGATTACTATAGCGATTAGTTTGTTTAACGAATAGCCTTGTTTACACATTCAGATTCGCGGTATTAGTTGAGGTTCGAAGGATGGATGCACGCTTTAGCTATGGGTGATTTTGCTTTCAGGAATTAGTTTGATTCGCTAGGGCTATCACTAAGTGTCTATTAGGGCACCAGATCAGATCTGTTTGCCAAATCCAATGTGAAAGGTTCATGGACATAGGATGGTAACTTCAATTATAAACTAAATCTCAAATCGATCGTCCCTTTTGACATATTGCTGAATATTGAAATCACTATTTCAACGCAAGAGATCTACCCGAAGACACTCACTTTTCACAACTGATAATGTACTTTCACTTCAAATCTCAAAAACTGAGGAGAATATGTTTTGTGTTTTACATGCTACAAAACCAACATACGATAAAACACGCACTTCACCATTATTATTTTCGAAAACTTAGAGTCCAAACAAGGCCCTCCATCAACTCAAGCCAAGTAGTTCCCAGATGCTAGCTTGTGTTAATTCAAGTGAATGAGCTTGCAATGCCACTGATTCTGATTTCTCACCATGAGACACCATAGCCCTGGGCCACACGATGCACTTGAATATTCTCCATAAGGGCATTGGTCATCTTTTCTGCGTTGATGGTAGTTACACACAGGTGCTTCCATTGGATCTCCGGGGTAGACTGCCAGCTTTTTCAGCAGGATATCATCGACATCAAGTATGAGATCACTGCTACTACACATCAAATCCTGAATATACTCATTATCTCACTCAAAAAATTACAAAGTCTGTTCTTCCCATACATCGTAAGAAAATTGGACTCTAGGGAACTTCACTGCAGTATTTAATTCTGCAACTATGTTATCAGATTGATCGGGCTTAGACTCTTCTTCCTTCAGGCTTTGAATGGGTATGACTGTCAATTGGTCAAACACTACTTTTCACTCATTGAATTCAACTATTTGGAATGTAATGCGATTAAGTTAATCATATCCATTCTTGCTAGGGTCTCTACTGAAGTCTATCCTAGTATGTCCTTTGGGTGTACAATCGGATGGACTCAACCCTCATGGATGCCATATCCAAACAACTTCCATTTCCTCGACAACAAATTCCACCCCATATTAAACATTAATGTACCGCGTGCATACAGTCTGTACCCTATTAGAGTTGAGTATTCAAGCCGATGGATCTGATTAGCTTCCGTTTGTGGTCGGGTCCACTGGAATCGCCATAGAAACGAACCGTCATTGCTTTTGGATCAGGACTCTTGAGAGTCACAGCGCCAACTTCATCTGCATCATCGGAAAGCTTAACCCTCTTGTTATTGCCGCTCTCCTCACCACTTTTGGAATCAGGTGAGGTGTATTGAATACTCATACTGTCAGGTGTTTTACCAGACGAATCACTGCCAGAGTCCGCAGAGCTATCAAGCTCCATTCCGGCATGACTATCACATTTGTTTTCATCACTACCAGAGCTAGACGAGGGAAAGCAATTGCCGCAAGTATGATCACCTTCAACCTTATCGTCAACAGGCTGAATGTTATCATCAACTTCAGTGCCCTGGTGATAACCATAGCTAGTATGGTTTGTAGCAGTTGACGCATTCTCAAATCGAAAGAAAATATCAGGGCTGATATCAATGTAAAGCTCTGGAATCGCCATGAGAAGCATGGATAATTGCTCGCGATCCCAGTTAGATTGATTGTCTTCTTGCATGGCTTCAGCCACAGATCCGGCACAGAAAGATCGGAGCTTTGATGCTCCGGGAGTGGTTTCGTACGCAAATCTGACATGCTCTGGCGTGAATCTTGACTCATCGCGACTTTCACGAATCTCCTTGACGATGCACTCCATTGTTTCATCTTGTAAACTTCTTTGGTCGAAGTGGTACGCGATAGCAAATAGAGAGAAGAGCTCGGTGGTACGGCATTTATTCCTTTTCTGCTCTGCAATCGAAGTTCCATATATCCAGAGCTGCACAAGCTTGAGTCCAGCTGGATCAAGCTCAGGATACCTCTCATAGAAATTCAATCGACTAGAATTAAAGATATTTGCGAAAAAAGGAAACTTCTCTTTCAAAAGGTTGGCATGGACAATGAGTACCTTGTCGTGGGAGCCAATTTCGATTTGAGCCATTTGGGTGCCCCATTTTCTAAACAAACTTAGCTGATAGACCTTCATAGTATATGGTACAATATTATCATATGAACATTATGATCCAAGCAACGGTTACCACACTTTGTAGCTCAGGCTATTGGACAACTTGATGGGGTTAATGCATGGGAAATAAGCTTACTCGATGTCTTGTTCAGTTGTGCTATCTGCATCATCAGATGAGTTCACTGATCCATTATCATCTTCATTGCTTGAAGAGACACATTCAGACATATCAGATGTGTGTTCTTGAGATCGGGGTGGACTAGAACGACGTTCAACGAGTGATGATTCGTGGGAGCTTATAAATTCATCTTTTCCATCATTGCATTCGCCAATTGACTTTTCTATCGATGGGAGCTCTTTATCGTCACAAGAGACGTCTGACGTGTCGTTCTTCGTCATGGTTGGTACTTCAATTGATGTTAATAAGTAATCGACCGAAGTGAGAATTCGAATACAGTGATGATTATAAATGATGTAAATGTGTTTATGAGAGTGGCTACTCACCTTATCATAAACTATCCAACAGTCAATGAAGAGTTTCAATGAGTATGGACTTTCGAAGCTCTTTATACTTTTTTACCGTCGGGAGAAGAAGAGGACTAAAGTTTATATATACTGCGGGTAAGCTTTTAGGAATCGTTACGTCCCCCCCTTAGTACTCTCTTAGCTCTTCTTTAGCTTCTAGTAGATCAAGAAACTCAAAACTTGGCCAGAATTCAAGAAGATAAATAAAAATGGATTTTAAAACAACTAATTATTATTATTTTACCAAAGATTGTCACCAGATAGACGTACTTCTCAAGTATATTTCAACAAAAGAGATGTCATTTTGAATTGATTTCAGCACAGATTCTCTTGGACTTTGTGATTATGGAGTTTTCATGGGGCTCGCTTAGCCCAATTTGACATTTGACAAGATGCCCACTACACAAGCTTAGTTTAAATTTTCCTCTAAGGATGTCTATGAAGTCGCAAACTGCTACTAGCTTATGTCTAGCTTTAAGTGTTCTGCGACTATAATCGGGAATTTATCAACACCAGCACGTCATACTAAAGGTATCTTTCCAGAAGAGGGACGATTCGCGGCAAGCGTGATACATTGTTATTTATTTCGTAGGTTGGTAGATAGAATATGCCAAGCAGTGACTCATATCTCTGCTGCTCAACCTCTCAACTGCCAATACGTGATTTAGCAAAAAACCTAGGAGAGTCGATCAAACCATTTGACCAATGAACCGAGTTGGTCGCAGATGATTTATGGTTTCCTCACGTGCATCTACTTCCAGTATTCACTGGTCACGTAATTCAGGCTCTTTGATGATTATTTGGATCTTTGCATCTGTCATGGTCTCACCCGGGTGATGACTAGAATCACCAACTCTGATCTTCATTGTTTCGCGGTGTAAATTTTTCATACAATCATCCATAACCCTTAAGTCATTTCATCGATCCTCTTCTTGCATAGTCACACATCCTTAGTTCTAACCAATGCCTCATGAAATTTTCATCTCTGACCATGACCTTCCACATATCCTCTGGCAGCTTGTCTTCTCGTCCCCTCTCCTTCTCATGATGACAATCCTATGTTCTCTACTGTAATCCACCTCTTCATTTCTTCTTCAGCTACTACCAAAGCCCCTAGATATCTTACCTATAAATCCGATATCCTGTACTTGTGACAACCCCCAACTCTTCCCTCGAGCTACTCACATCTCTTGTTTCAGCATACCTCATTTCCATGGCCTTCCACTAAACTACATCCTTCTTGCTCTCATAACCTTGATCAGTGAACACACAAGTTCGCTTTTTGTGTGAATTGGATTTTTCCCCTCGAACATATATGGACCAACCAGATATCATAATGATTTCCAATCTTCTATTAACATATGATTATTCGCATTGGCTTGCAGCCAGTAGAACAGTAGACGGAAGGGGATAGTATGGTTGGAGAGGAGATGGACGACGAGAATGGATGGGTGACGAGAGTTCTTAATTCGAGGAAGAAGAACGACACGATTCGAGTAGAAAAGGCCAAGCGGTCGAAAGAGGGAGAGGTAAAAACTCTGGATTCTGGAAGATTCAAGAAATCGAGGGGCGGTGGTTATCGTGGGGGTTGCGATTCGAGTCCCTCAGCTCTGCATGAACTATTAGCATTCTAAACTGAACAATGCAAAAGGAGATATGGGAAGAGGAGCATGAGGGAAGAAGAAAGATTTGGGAAAACTTACTGCCCCCACTATATATCTCCAGATGTTGTCTCAAAAAGTCGATTTTTCTTATCGAGTTCTAAATTCTGCCCCCTGCTCCTTGCCCCTCATCGAAATGCCGTTTTTTCGACGCCGGCATCATTGCTGCGACTGCCATCTCATCCCATGCTCTTTCCAAAACTAAATATATCCCAGAAAAGTCAAACCATGTACTAGAGGAATAGAATACTAGTACATGGGATGAAAATCCTCAGTTCATTACTGTCAAATCCTGGTTCAATTGTTAAGCTGTGTGGGATTTGAGGTATTCAATTGTCGCTGTATCGTATTTGCTCGTATGGCACAATATCATACAGTGACTAGGTATATCCATGTTAATATCGCAGTGTTAGAAAAGCATCTATACATATTTTCACAAGATTTTATCCCATTTAGAGAGCAAGGTCATTATTACCATCAGTACAAACACAAAACATCACGAATAATCAGACAGCACAGTCACAAAAGTCCTAATAGAATGACCCCATTCACAACTTTAAACATCACATGAACCGACCATTAAAACCATAACTAAATCATTGCTATTAAGTTGAATTTTCATTATTACATTATGACGCCTTGTCAAGAAAACTGTTTGAACAGGTCATAAGGACCATGTATGCCTATTATATGTGTGTAGAAACGATCATCTGAAGTAAGTAAAAACTTGTACCGAGCCGAACCAAATCAATTTGAAACATAAGATTCCAAATTCTAAAGACACAAGAAGTTTTCTTCGATCGAAAAACTGAAAGCGAAATGAAAAACTTGCCAGATATGAACAAGCAAATCGGCCAGAAACGTTCCAGCATAGGTATACCTATGGGTGAATGACCACACATTCTTGGTATTCGTGTTGAAATTGTCGAAAAACTGAAATGAAAAGAGAAGCTATCGCAAGAATTGACACGTAATCGAAAGAAAAACAGCACGAAAAGATCTTTCAAACCAACTAGCGCCCATGCAAAACCAAATGCGCCATTCCATCACAAATCCGGATCCTCGGGGTCCATCTCGAATTCCTTCTTAAACTCTGCCCTATCCTGAGCGACAGTCGTAAATGGTAATCTTCTCTGACGCCCAGAAGTTTCGAGATTAAGCTGGGGACCCCGAGCACCAGGCGAGATGTTTATTGTAGTTTGATGATATCTCCGAGGTGGACCACGATCAAGGGTAGAAGGAGCTGAGGCTGGACGAGGATTAAATGCAACCTTGGGACCTTTCTTGACGGGGGTTTTTCTTGATTTTCTTGGAGTACCCTTTGCAGAGTCTTTGGCGGAAGCTTTGCCTGGACTTCTGGTTGGATTTCTAGTTGAACCCCTGGAAGAATTCTTGGGGTGACGTGCTCTCTTACTAGGGCTCTCCTCTTCAAAGTCATCTTCATCATCCTCGTCTTCTTCCATTTCCTCAGCATCATCTTCCTCATTACCTTCTTCATCCTCTCCATCTTCTCCGTCAACCGACTCGGTATCCTGGAATCGGAAGTAGTTACCACCTCTCGCTGACAAGTCATACCGTCTCTGACTTCTAGTACTAGCACGAGTCCGATTAGGTGTTACTGGAACGAGCGCTTCTCCTGGCTGGCTTCTTGTACCAGATCTTTCTCGACGTGGTATTTCCGAAACATCGACTGGACCCATTCCATCAGGTTGATCAAATGACTGGTTCATGTTACCAACGCCAAAACCGGCATTTATTTGTGCCAGAGGTGTATTATGGAACATGAACTCATCCATGCCTTCAAGGCCAACGGGAGCTTGGTTCATAGCACCAACATTTTGATTGACACTTCCAAAAGATTGCTTCGTACCACCGAAACTGGAGGGAATGGCATCGGGATTGAAAGCACCAAGATGACGAGAAGATCTTATTAGGCCGGTAAATGGCACATTTTCAACACTGAAATCAAAATTATAGTTGCCCCTCAAATCAGCAAAGTGATTTCCTAAGCCATGGATATCATTGAAGTTGGGAGCTGGGGGAAGTTCTGCACCTAGATCCATGTTTAGATCTATATTTAGATCCATACCCACTGGTCCAAAGTCACCAAAATTACCGCGATTGATCCAAAAATCCTCTTGAGGATTATCAAGAGCTGCAAGAGGTTGAGATAATCCGGAAATTCCAGGGACTTGCTGATTCAAGCTGCCATTTCCAGGACCAGAGAAACTAAGTCCTGCAAGTCCTATCTCTTGCTCGGTGCGAATTTGATTGGCACTAAAGCCTTCTTGATCTTGACCAGTGGAAGTAGCTGCACGACGATGAGCTGTCAGACCGGGCAAAAAATCCATGTTCTGATTTACATATGAGTTGAAACCGAAGTCTCTTGGTGCACCAATTCCTCCGTGCATGCTAAGGGATCGATCTTGAGCAAAGATCTCAGGAACATTTGCTTGAAGTTCAAATGATGGTATACGATAATCACGAGGTATCTCATACGGACCAGCATCCCGTCCACGACGTGTTTTTTCAGGTGTAAGAGTATGAATGGCGGAAGGAAATTCTTGTACTTCTTCCTCCATCTCAATCCTAGCTCCATCATTTCCGAAATTTTCAGAAGACATCTCATTTTGGCGTCCGAGTGATTGGTAGACGGCAGCGATCTGCAGCTGTTCACGCATTTGGGCCCGATTCATAGTAGGAGTGAGACCCTTCTTTGCTCTATCAGAGTTTGTGGAGGGATTTACATCAGTACCATGAATCACGTTTGCTTCTCCGATGTTTGATTGAGAACGACGCTTAGGTGCAGCATAAACAGGAACTAATTCATCAGATGATCGACCACGACGTGGAGGCGCGATGTGATTAGGAACAAAGTGAACGTAGGCCGGTACACGTGAAGATGTATCAACAATGATGGTATCGTTATCGACAACAGGATTAGTTGCCTTGTATCGACCCATCGATGACCGCGAACGACGTTTAGGTTGACTATTGCCAGAAGCAGATCTATCAGATGATCTTTCTCGACGTGGCGGTGCATTGTTGGTAGGATTAAAGCTTTCAGATGATGGAACACGATTGAGAGGTGGATTAATGGAGGGAACAAGGCCTGCAGCTGTTGGAACCACTCCCAACGCACGATAAACCGTCGCAACTTGGAGTTGAAAGTTACGATTCACAAATCCAACTTTGGCAGCTGCAGTAATCGCCTGCTCCTCTTCAGCGGCAGTCATGTTATTTGCGATAGTCCCATCAATTGTGTTTGCTTGACGAACAGAAGGTGCGGAATGAGATGAAGATGTAGGATGAGAGGGAGGTGCACTGGGCGAACGAGAAGTTTGGCTGGCACTACGTGTGCGATGTACAGAGATATGTGATGGACCGCCTTCTGTCCCCTTGTGTGTAGAGGGTGTAGCTTCTTTTGCAATAGCCCTGTTCGATTCTTCAATCTCTTCCTCTGCTACCTTCAGAGCCTCCGTGTTGTACTCATGAAAGAGCTTGTACTCATCCCAGACATGATCGACTAATAAGTGCTCGCAGATCCAAGGGTGCTCTGCAACGAACTCCATAGCATCAATCATCTCACGAAGAGAAAAATGTTCATTGCTATCCCCATCGACAGACTCTGCAGGAGAGGAATTCTCGTTTTCAAGGTGGTCTTCGATCTCAAGACTACGATTAGGAGTTGCAGTCTTGTTCAAAGTGCTTTCTTGAATGTTAGATAACGAGAGACTTCGTCTGCTGCCCAATCCTTGTCGATTTTCACTAGCTCTGACTTCGCTATCATTAATGCTAGGAGTGAGCTGGATTTCCTCCTCAATATCAGAATCGGGATTGACGGCAGATTTCGTTGCATCTGTTCTGCGAACACTGCTAGATGTTGCAGTTCTCTCTCCATTATTCAACTTTGTCGCGCTCGTGGGTCGACCACGTTCGTCGTCGCTGACACCGTATAAATCATCATTCTGAGAAGCAATCTGCGCCTGAAGCTCGCGCTCCAGGTTTAACTGATAGGCTTTCTCTTGAGGAGTACGAAGAAAGGAGTTCCCATTCATCCTACTAATAGCCTCAAGCTCAGCAGCGGCGCTCTTCTCGAGGGCGAGGGCAAACCTCACGTGCTTGGATTGTCTTTCGCCGTTGTGAGATTTGGAGTTGGAAGTCATCGCTTGGTCATGACGACCGTTAACTTGAAGAGGCGTGATTTGAGGAGGAGGTACATGACTCGATGAGATAGAATCATGATTATGTTGAGCTTCATCTAAAGAAAAAAGGTTAGCACTTGTGCTTATCAACAGATCCCGTGGCTAGTGACGAACCACTCTGAGATAAAGCTAACAAAGATTGCGCAGCTAATTGGCGACTTTGAGCTTCAAATCGAGGATAATTTTGCATCTTTAATTGAGAATTATGGGTAGTGGCAATGTGATTTGTAATGACGAAGTTGTATCCTGAGTGAGTGCTGAAGAATAACTGACTTTCTCGACAAGCCGCCTCAACCTGTTCCTCTATCTCGTTCTTGTGCTCTTCTATATCCTTGAACTTCTTGACATGGCATCGCCATCCTGGGTTATAAGTCTCATTGGAAAGCTTGACGCACAATCGCTCGCACAGCGTGGGCTATCGAAAGCTGTCAGTATTCGTCGCATGTGAATACCTAACCTTACTTACATGTTTAATGAACAAACGAGCAAGGAATCTTGCATGCATCATAGCCCACGCACGAATGTTGACTTCTGGATTGAGGTTTGGTCCTCTCTTCAATATCGGAATGACATTTTGAACTTTGGACTTGTAAACGTCCATTGCTTCAAGTAGTATCTTCCCGAATTCGACTCGATCTTTCTCTGGAATCTTAAGGGCCTCAGATTCACAGGCAAGAAACCAAGTAGCTGGATTATAAGAGACTATCTTAGCAATGACTGCCACTTGTTGCTTAGATATAGCCATGGTGACTATTGTACAATATGGTGTGCTGTAGCAAATGCCAGAAAGAGATAATGCAAGATTGTGGATATAGTTTGCTAAGCTTGAAAGCTTCGCAATCTTCTGCAAATCCAAACTAGAATAAAATACACACTGAAGCTCGAGAGTTTTGAAATAAGCAAGTGTCTTTGTTGTTGACAGAATAAAACTGAGCTTTTGCGACGGTGGGATAGACGGTGGGATAGAAGAATGGTCGGCTAAAGTTCGGGACCTCCATGTTGTTTCCATGGCATTATCTAGCCCCTCGAAGTATTCACTGGCTAAGGTGATAAATCTAGGAAAAGTTGATGTGAAAGACCTGTCTATGCAAAGCCTGTTCATCTCTTGTATCAATAGATACTAAGCCAATTCAGTGAATGCCTTTGAAGTGCTGAACTTTTTCTTCCTTTTCCCAAAATTTCGATCCCCTTCACTTGTCGATTGCATCTAATTGGGCGTTAAAGACCTGTCAAAGCTTTTTCTATCCTCTTCTCATCAATCTAATGTCTGTTCAGAGCGAATGATAGGAGATTTGAGCCAAACATACGGTGTGAAGTTATGCTTGTCCTCCTGATTGACTTCCATTGTATGATCTTGAGTTTAATATATCACATATATACACAGACCTCAAATCCCTCCAACTGTTCAAGATTTGGATACAGACACTTATAGTAACCTAGAAAGTTGATAGACAACTCAAGATACAGATGCTTGTTTTCCGCTTGACAAAAGTTTGAGACAGACAAATCCCTGTGGTTGTCATGTTTGTCTGAATGGTGATAGCCAAAAAAACACACAGTGCCTATTGTCAACAGTTGTCATTCCTCAATATTTGCAAACTTCCGGTTTGTTCTGTTTGCTTGTAACGATAATCATCAACATCTTTGGAATCCTACCTTGCAACAGGGACTGTCCTTCACTATTGATATGATGATTGTCATCAGAAATGTAGGAAACCATCATACAGTCATTCACACCTGCAAATATCATCAGCATTCATTTCATCAGCCCCAGAACCACCAACATCGGTCCCATCATCGAGCACAAACCCTACATGATGCAGACTCTCATATCAAACTCTCTTTCTCACTCCAATGCATCCACCGCACCACTTCCGCATTCACTTCCGCTTACCTTCTCCACGTCACTCCACTTGTTATCTCTCTCCCTAATCACATCATCCGCTTCAAGAATCCCCAACAACATTGATTTTAAGATGTGGACTTCCTTAAAGATAAAGACCAGACAGGAACATCACAGCTTCAAGAACTCTGCCAGCTTTTAGCAAATCCCAAATTCAAACCCCCATCCCAACCACAAAACCACAACCTACATCTAAAATCCAAACCTCCAACCAAAAAATAGTACATCCACAATACACAGAAAGACACCATACATCTACCACAAAAAGACGACATGCATACATACATAGCCATAAGTAAATAGTACCAAGTATAAGTGGAGACTGAAGCGAGTGAAGTGAAGTCCGACATTGAAGTTCCTAAGCGCACGGACACTTGATGCGGATTGACATGCCCGGTGAAATATGAAAATCATCACGTGATGATCTTGGGTAAGACTTTGGATTTGAGATTTGGCAGATCCGGAGATTGTGGTGGTTTCAGGTTTGACGAGTGTGGATGATGAATGTGGCGGGATGAGGTGTATGGAGGTATATGTGTTGGATCGCGTTGGATTGGGAGAGAGGTTGAGGAGGAGAATTACTATTTTCCTCCATTTCGGGACGGGAACGTATATTTCCTGTGATTTCACGATGCACATGCTAGAGTTCATGAGTGAAAAGGAGATCTGTAATATATTGTAAGACTTATTGAATATGTACTGTTATTAATTATGATCTCGAAGCAAGTAAATCCACCAGTCCGCTTATATATAAGAAATGAAGATTGGTCGAGATGCCACCATGATGCCCATAGTCCCCAGTTATGCCTGTATGTATTGACTTTTAGTTCTCAAGTAAGGACCAAACCTATACAAGATCCAAGGAATTGGTATCAAAGATACAGTAATAAAGCCTAGCATTGACGTTGCCCATGTGAAGCCGAGTTTGTCGAGAATTGTTGGCGTTATGAGAGGGAAACAAGCCGAGACAAAGAAGCGCATGAATGTTAAGGCGGCTAACATTGATGCGCTATAGTGAGCAGTGTAGAAGTCACTGTGATATACTGGGAGACATAGCTAATGAACCGCAGCGTCAGCTTTTGCTCGATTATTTCTACATCGGATTGAAAGACATACCATGGTGAGAACAAATGAGAAACCGAATAGTCCACCAGAAAGGATAGGTATAATTGAGGGAATATCTGCGCGACCTGTCCATGCGAGCCTAATTAATTGGTCAGTAATATGAAAAGATGAATGGGATGAAGTCATTATCTTACCAAAACAAAGAGATGGGCAGTGTGATAGACCCTAACATGGCGGGATATAAACGTTTCTCTGGTGCTACCTTAGTCCCGGTTCTGATTGCTTCGTTTCGTGGTTTCCGATAGAACAATCGATCAAAGATGGCAATTGTCGGAAGTGCAGTCACGCTTCCAATTATCAAAGGACAAAATGCCATTCCGACTTCATATGGTGAGTGTTGATAGATTTTCTCAAACAAGTTAGCATATGATACGAGGTAGGAAAAGACCACAGATTGTGTTATTGCCATAACGAGACCGGTTGGAAAGACTGTAGGTTCGACGAGCAGCATGTGCAAAGGTCTTCCCAGTGATGTAAGGACAAGTCTTATAAGTGTTGCCCTGCTAGTTATGAGACCCATTCTTACTTCTTCTTTACGGCGTGATATCTGCGGTTGGTATGTTTCGGGAAGTAAATAGGCTAAGATCGTAGAGCCGCTGAAAAGGATAGCTGACACCCAGAATTCCCATCGCCAGGAATGATTTCTTATTATTGCGGCACTGACCATAGGCCCGGTCTCTGTCACATTGATAAGTTAAGAATGGAGGTCATGTGAAAAGTCAGGCATGGATTTAGAACTTGAAATCGTGGGAGTGCAAAATTAAAAGATAAATTATACTTACGGGTACCACCAACTACAAACAGTACGAACAAAGCCGCAAACGTAGTTCCAGTTTTCTCGAGACTGATATTCCACACATCACTTATAATTCCTCCACCAACTGTAAGACAAGGAGATGCAAAAAGACCAGCGAGTGTTCGAGCGATGGCAATCGTGGCAAAGTTTGCAGCACATCCTCCCAAAAGAGTAAAGATCAATGCTAGTGGTGCAGTAACTCTGTATACTACTCGCCTACCGAAAACTTCAGAAAATGCCGTTGAAAATAATGCCCCGATACCAAGGCCCGCAGAGTAACATGATATCGGAAAAGTGGCTATTGTTTTTGAAATTCCGAAAGATGTAATGACACCTGGCATACCTCCCGTGTAGGTTGAGTTCCCAAAAGTTCTGTCATATGATAAGCACGTGTATCGTGTGAGCATATGTAAGCACTTACGCTGCAAATGCTGTGTATAAAACCGAAATGGAAATTGCATATTTGATAACAGGAGGCCAGTTACGAGCATTCTCGTCGTCTTTCAGAATAATCGAAGTGCCTCGAGGACGTTGTGGTGCATATGATAATCTTTCCCATCTCAAACAACATTGAGGTTGTTGTATTTCATTTAATTCATCAGAAAATGAAGTAGCTTGGCTACTTTTTCTCTCATCCATCTTGATAGAGAGATGATCGTCAGAAGCGACAGGAGAAGACAAAAATTGCTTGGCTCAACAAGCGCGCTGAATATATCGAAATGCTTCAATCAAAGAGAACGTTTCCTGGGGTTGTGAGTGAGAGGCAGAAGATATAATGAGCAGACAAGTTTAGATTCCGATGATGGCGCTATAAACTCTGATCGTCTTCTCAACTTTTCCAAAATCGGAAGGCACAACTTGCCCAGTTTGATGCGTTTGGTCGTCATCGGGACCCAAAATCTTACGTCTTCCACAATATCATCTTCCATAGTCGATTAAAACTGATAGATGCTTCATCGAGATCAGGAGTTGCAAGGTTTTTTCATTAAAAGATCGTATTTGCGGGATATTATCAATTCATGGCACACAAAACGTGTATCTATTCAATGATCAATGTGACCCACGACCTATGACTGTCGATCAATTTTGGTTGAGATTCTCCATCCCTCATGAAATTGAAAGACTCATTGACGAGTTTGCCTGCAATCCTACTTCCATCAGTCGGACTGAAATTTCAAAAGACGTGGTGGTCTCGGAGGGCCCAGCAGAATGAAATGGTTTATCGGAGAGATATTCGATACCATCAATTCACCGATGAAGCTACCCTCATCCTCGTGAATCACACGTGTGGTGGTTGATAGGAATGGTCGAACAAGTCTCAAGCCACTGGCCGTTTCAACTTGTCGCACTCATTCGATTGAAATTGATCCATCGGACGATGTATTCCGATGAATTCGACGATGAATGATATGTGTCATCTCACACATCATCTATGTCACCACGACGTCGCTCACAAAGGCGCAAGTACCCGGGACAAATGACTTCGTTTCCAAAACTGTCCCGAAAGAGCATCTTACCAACATTTTGGTAATGTTCATATCGATCCACAACAATTACGAGAGAGAATTGAGTCCCCCATTGTCGGTAAAGCTTTTACCAGTGAAATGATCCACAAATGGCGGGGATTGCCTCTTTTGGGGTAATTCCCCATGAAAATTCTTTGGGGTCAATCAAGGATATGTTGCAACAGCCATATAACATACGGAGTGCGCATAAATATAAAGTATCGCTACCGCCCTACTGATCGTGCGAGGCTTCCTTTCAACTTTTTCTCCCAACTGGACGAATTCTTTTTTCCTTCTAAATCTTACCCCGGATACCCCACCCCCACAACAAACATAACAGAGCCTGCAGATGCAGAAGTTGGCATCGAACAATGAAAGGGATTAGAGAATATTCATATTTCTGAGGACGGATTACG